GCGTAATGTGATATGTGATAAGTGGCGTAATGTGATATGTGATAAGTGGCGTAATGTGATATGTGATAAGTGGCGTAATGTGATATGTGATAAGTCTGAGGACGTTTGTCGGTTAATATATAAATAATTTGTATTTATATATAAATAGTATATATTATTATACATATATATACATGTATATATTTTTAATTATTATATGTATATCGTATGGTTAGGCTGACCAGCAGAGATGTGGTTCATCGGCGCCATCAACACTATAACTTCATTCAAGAGGCGAGATCTATGAATATAACGTCAGTCTCCGATATGACTAAACAAAATGGGTTGAGAGTTTTGAAAAACTCCACAAAACCATGTCCTAGATTAGGCACTGTCATGGCCGCCCATTCTTAAAATAGAGTCAAGTCACATGGTATACGCTATGTTGAATCATTATGACGCCATCAGTGCTGCCATGCCTAGATATTGTAATGATATCAGTCTATGGCAAATTTTCAGGTAGAGTTTATAGCCTGCAACACTGGTTTATATCATGGTCCGGGTTCAAATCCCCACCAGAGCTTCTTGGGCTTGAGAGTGAAAGAGAAGGGGAGAAAGGGGGGGGGGCAGAGAGAGAGAGAGAGAGAGAGAGAGAGAGAGAGAGAGAGAGAGAGAGAGAGAGACAGACAGACAGACAGACAGACAGACAGACAGACAGACAGACACGAGACACACAGTGAGACACACAGTGAGACACACAGTAAGACACACAGAGAGACACACAGTGAGACATACAATGAGACACACAGTGAGACACACAGAGAGACACACAGTGAGACATACAATGAGACACACAGTGAGACTTACAATGAGACACACAGTGAGACACACACGAGATGAGACATACAATGAGACACACAGTGAGACACACACGAGACACGCAGTGAGACACACTCAATGACACACAGTGAGACACACACGAGACACACACGAGACACACAGTGAGACGTTGTACTAACGATATGGTCAGGAGACATCTCAACTTACTGTAGATCGTGAGTCGGGTATTGATCCTTTCCCCCTTACCGCTGACTGTGACTACTCTACGCGTGTCTGTCTAGTGTGGGCGGGGGAGGAGTGGGAGGGGGGGG